CCACGTTAAACAAAAAAGAAAGATGAGTATTCAATCAAGGTCACGTGTGCTCCAAGCACCGTACATTTTGCTGTGATCTGTGCCCATTTGATCCATTCATTACCCACGACACTCCATGTGAAAACCAAATTCTTCGTATTCCAGCTTCGCCCCCTTAAATATCTGCACATGATACCAAGCCGTTACTCAAGTAACTCAACATGTCTTTCTTCCGTGAGGTGGTTATATCGATACCCCTCCAGGATGTTTTCCTACGTACGTGTGAAGATCCCCACAGAGGAAAAACCGCAGGGCGTTGATGTATTGTGAAGACCCCGGATACCATCGGGATTCGAGGAGGCATACGAATGAGCTCTAGGTGTGTGTTGAGATGTGTTGAGAAAAGGGCTACTTCAATGATGCTCCGATGGACCTACCGGTAGAGACTTCTCTGTCTCATAATAGATCTAGCAGAAAGGTAACTCAAAGCACTTGAGAAGTGGGAGTATCGCTATATTGCGGACACAAAATCTCATGGATATCACCAAAGATATCCTGCAGGTGGTAAGCAAGGTCTGAAAGGCCTTGAAATATTTCCCAATGGTTTTGACGAGGTTGTTGCTGGTGCTCCTGCGTGGTGGATTACTCACCTACAGCCTTTGAAATATGATTGTGGGCATTTGGAATCATCCTTCAAATCCTTGCTACTATTGTCCCACATCATTTCTTAAACTTCTTGTGGTTAAAGTCATCACACAATGCGACCCTCAAGATGAGGTCAATGGCGGGATTGTAGTAAATCCTCTCGGCTGCAAATCAACACAACGAAGGTTACCTGCCAACGCCGCGGAATACAACGACTTGTCTCAACGGCGATCAAATCACAACAATCAACAAATCACACAAAAATTCGGTTCAAGCTGGCCAATTCGTATTTCCTTCCTTTATGGTAGGTAGTAAATGAACCTGGATATTAATTGTCACCTTATCTTATACACTGGGCACAACGTATATACAGTACAGACTAGGTCTGAGACCGAACTGGACATGAGAAAATTGGAAATCAGCAATAATTACTTTTCGGTCCTAATCAATCGGTTCTTGCAACGGCTGGTTATTCCAATCTTGCACCTTCTTAGAGAGGGTAAGACTTTTACTGTCACGGCTTGTCAGATTGCTACTGGGTCAAGTTACTTTTGCAATCAGGTTTTCAAAGCTTCGTAATCGCAGGAAAATTATTTGGACGACTTCTGTAATTTTTATTTGATTCTAGGGGTGGGTAAGGTAAGCTTCATTCCCTCCTCCATTTCATATTTCGGACTTTACCAACACACCACTAGACATTCACCAGACATTTCGCGATGGCATGTCCGAGCTTGAATGCTTAATGTACTATTGGCGGCATCAGACCAGCTAGTAATCTCACAGAACATCACATGCCCAGACCATCAAGACGCTCACACAATGTTTTTCTCGACATGATGGCATGAGTGAAGTATGGTACCGCGTCTACTGATATCACCGCTACAAACTATCGGAATACACCAATCCAGCTGGTGGTTTTTGAAGCAGAGGCATTTGTGTGTTTATCCAAGTCAAGCTATATATGATTAACGATCGTACAGGAGAAGTCGGAATTGGGGTTGCAAGGCAATATAACATTAGGATAGTTCCTTCCGTACAATTTTCAGCCTCAGTTCGAGCTTTTTTCATACTCTCCTTCTATCATAAAAGTTCCATGCACCGATATGGAAAGTGTGATTCGACACGTTCATTACACATATAGTTCTTTTCTGTTCTTCATTCCTTAATATTCAACTCTTCAAAGTATTGTTCTTTATCATTTCAAAACAGGCCGATTATTCATAATATCCATTTTTATTGGTATTGTTATAATCTATTATCACAATCATGCCTTTTTGCCCATTAAATGTATTGGAGCTTCCGCTCAGCAATCCAGCACCGTCGCCTCGTGTCGTTGACGCAAGAAAATACTGTGAAAACAAACCTGAAGTGTTCGTATCTCGAAAATCCATGGCTCCACTAGATGCGCTCGTCACTTGTCTCTGGATGCTCGATCCGCGGTACTTACAACAATTCCTCAATCGTCGTTTGCCGCGATTTCAATTTCAATTACAGCGAACGACGCCTATCCTTCGTCGCAACATCATATGTATGCGACACAAGATGTCGGAATCCTTGCATTTAATCCAAGTAAGCCAGACACAGCTTCCTCATGGCAATGTTCATTCTAATAGTCTATGACTTTAGTTACAAAGCGATTCAAGCATGTTGATCAGCCACGGAAAATGGGAAACCGTAACCACCAAGGTATTCTACATTACAGATGGACACATCCTAAGATTCGAATGTCATGACATGAACACAAATGGCTTGGATGCCAACCCCTCAATCGCCAATGCAATCTATACCCCAGCTCTGCTCCAGGGATTGACCCCTTTAGGAAGGACACAACTCTACATTACAGCTTCCTTTATGCAAGAATGCAAAACATCACTAGTAGAAAATGGATCTCGCACATACTCTATGACCTGGGATGGAAAATGGAAGAAGCCCGACGATTTGATCATTTGTCCGCGGCAGCTCAGCAGGGATGGGGAACCACTAGCGGAATACTGGAGACAAGAATATCCCGAAGCTATAGGACAATCGATCAAAGCTTCCCTAGTCTTCGATGTGCGATTATTACCCTTGTGGCGTCGTTGTGTTTGTCAGACGCCGGCTGTCAAATTCTTTCTCGATCGTGTGGAGAGGAAAAACGTGATGAGGAAAATGAAGAAGTTTTGTACGATTCAACCGTATCAAAATACTGTTCAGTATAAGGACGTTGAGGAGTCATAACATTACCATTGCATTGGATGGTTTGCCTTGGATTACGGGCGAGGTTTGGGTTATGCTGTTTAGTCTTTGTATATTGTTTCTGTCTGAATAAAGCATTTGATTGTATCAAGTCCTCACTGAATGCGATGTAGAGTGTGGCCAGTCATAATGAAGCCTCAAGTATTCACCGTTGCTTATATAACTCGGTTCACAATACTTTGTGCCCACTTATCGTTTCATATTGACCAAAATCCTTAAGTTATAGACGATAAGCACAGCTTCATATCTCAGCGGATTGCTTAAGGTAGTAGTCCTAGCACACAGGAAGCGCCGAGCAGAGGAGAAGACACAATGACAGGACTCCTGTTTACCCGTGCCAAGCTGGCCATTTCTTTTTGAAAAGAGAAATTCAAATTGAGCTTCTACCGCAACACACGCTATACGCACGCAATTGCAGAATTTCACAAACGCTGATTTCATCGCTACATTTGGTTATTTCTGCTTTTCAAGCATCATATCCGTTCTTCCCCTCTACCACATCATAAACACCACCTCCTTTGCCAAACATTGCTTTAAGATCCCTCGCCAGTACTTCCGGATGTTCATGCGCACAGAAATGCTACCAAAGCTGTCAGTAACCCAGAAATCATTGAGTATAAAAACCCTAGAGAATACCGACTCACACCACCATGCTCATTATCACTCTCATACACCACCTCCCCAACATCTTTCCCCACAACTTCGACAATTGATACAATTCCTTCGGGTCATAGCAAAGTCCTATTTGACAGTCGGATTATAAGCCATGCCATCATCAAGTGTGAATGTTCGACCATGAGACCCACTCCTTGTGGCGTATGTCGACTTTGATAGTACATGCGAACTGAAGCACCTGGTACCGCTCAACTAAATTGATAGATACTAATCCAGGTGAAGGTCTCGTCGGAGGTTTAGGGGTAATCGTCAGACCGGCAGTGCAGTCTCTCGTAAATCCAAGCGAGAAGCGTGATGGGAGAGTCATTGAGACTGTATGCGAGTGTTTGGGGCTTGGTGCTTGAAGTTGCAGGTAGGGTGTCTTAATGTTAGTTACCCTAATCATTGATCTGAGAGGAATTAGTTATGTGCACCTTCCCGAGAAAACTCCATCATGGTTGCAAAACCCCGTTTCTCTTTCTAGGTATACGGCGTGACAGCACGTTTCAAGACAAGCAAAGGATGCATTTTGAACGATGGTGCAGTCACCCGCACCATACTGAAATGACTGGCCCTACAACTCTCCGGGTAAAATGCTCCCAGGGCTCTAGAGACGCCAAATCCAATGTCGCTTCCTTGCGTTACATATTTGTCATATCCAAGCTTCAGTGAGTTTGTAAAATGTTTCGGCTAGTTGGGCTGTCCCGAATCCGATGTATGATGGGCCTTGACTGAAGCCAAAGTTGGGTAGCGAGGGAACTACTACGTGGAATGCTGGTCCGTCTGTTGCGGATAAGAGGGGTAGCACTTTAAGATATTCGATGAATAGGCCGGGCCCTGTGGATTTAGGTTATAAGGTATATTTTGGGTGAGATAATGATTCGTGATGGGATTACTAACGGCTGTGCACAAGAAGTAATGGTACGGCTCCATCTATATCGCTTTTCTGGTGTAAGAAATGGATATCTAGATTCCCAAACCCAACTATCTCAATCTCAGTGTGGAATTGTGGGGACTCGTTGAGTTTCCTCTCTGCTGCTCTCCAATCCCATTGCTGTCAGGCCTTTGTCAATCTCTTGATTTCGGTCAGATGACAACCTAAATCCCAATCAGAACCTTGAAGCTCATCGGGAAAATCGACAAGAGAAAGTTTAGTCTTTAATTTGTCAAGTTTGGCTTGTGGGACTGGTATTTGATAGGGTTGAATGCAGTGAGCGATACATTGGCGGGTTCTCGATTTAAGGAATCTAGAGCTGCTCATTGATGGATAGTACTGGAGCAGGAGGTATGGAAGAATTAAAAGTGGTATATAGTCATAATTCCCTTAACATTTTATGCTAGATAAATATAGGATACTCGATGTCGCCATCACCTTTATCCGTTCTCGATATACGGAAGAGAGTCAATCATACCCCATGCAATATATCGGACTACGGTTTATCCTAGTTAGAAGCCTGTAAGCCTACATACAAACGATTAACTCCCCACTTTCGGAGGACTTCTTGGCAGGTGCTAGTCTGGATATCCTAGTAGTCACTTATTTGCAAAGCGTAAGAGCCCATTCGGGTATAGCTTCCCTAAATTAGGAAATTTGATACCTGAATAGCAAAACATCTAATCGGGTAGGAACCGTTCGCTTAATTGACTATAATGAAGGGGTTTAGAAATTGGGAACTTCAAAATATAAACTATTAATTCATATTCATATACTTGTCCACTTCACACATACATACCACAGTAAACGCCATGAGAATGCATGATGGCAACTAGTCATAGAACAGAACCAAGTGCGATTACGAGTGCTTTTTTCCCAATCCCATTTGATATAGTAAATGTCCCTATCGAAATCAAACCACGTATATGGCGGATGAGGAAGAGATTCTGGTGAGCTGACCTGGAAAGCAGGCCTATAAAACTTTTGTGCAACAGCTCTCGATTCGCGATTAATGTGTGGGATCAACGGTATTGTTGAGTTTGATTTCAGGACCCAAGTTGAGGGCGCCTCGCGATCCGGTATGGTGTTGCGTATTATTATCTCGTTGTTGGTATGCGGGTCGACAAAGTTGAGATTGATAATGCGGGGTCCGGGGAGGAAGAGTTCCCAGATGTCAAAGCGAATTTCTGTAGGGAGACTTCCGAACTATGTGCGAGAATTCTGGAAGGTAGATGATGCCATGTCGAAGTTGTAGATGATATTTATGCGCTAAGATGGGTATCGTGAAGGAGCAAGTAGAAGGGAGGTTGTTGAGGTAGGGCTTTGAAGTTCATATGCCAGTGCCACTTTCGATACGACTGTTAGATAAATCTAGACCAATCTAACAATAAGATGGTGTACCTTGAGTTCACACTATGACTATTTGAATATCTCTCATAGGAACATCAACCGATGGAAAGCTGTAGAGTTTAGATTAATGTTGGTAAAGTACAGTTGTACAAAATCACAGAAACCAAAAGCAAGAAGTCAATATACTATAAATAGAGCTCTGTCTAGGACGAAATTGTATATAGATTTAATTAAATGTCATTTATAGATATAAAATATTATACAAAGTTCTATTGATAAATTAATGATATTGGCTAAATTTGATGACTAATCTGTTCTGTTTATATAATATACTTCATACCTATATGTATATTATCGAGAATTCTTGCCTCTAAATATGAATACATTCAAGTAACTAATTTCATTTACTGGACAATAATTCGACATTTTTCGATGTTCAATCAGTATTAATCTGTAGTCCACAGAGTTTTCTTTGATCGAATATTTAAATTTCTTGTTACAAAGTTCTTTCTTCTCAAGCCTTATGATATAGAGATCTAATCTTGGTCTATGTTAGATCTTCCGAGCTATAGGTTCCTTTCACAGGGACTATACAAACATTTAGTACCTCTACATAAAGTTAAATGCTAAATATTTTCATTTCAGTTATTTACTTTATGCTTGCATGCTCAAGACAATCTCAGAGTATTGAAGGCTACTTGAACCATGACGAATGCACCCGATAATCGTTCTCCAGTCAATCCCGCTTATTCCTCCGCAGGCCCAGCCGGTCCGATCATGGAAACGCTCACCGATTCAGCATATAGAAGGAAATATGGCCCTTGGCCGGGGGCAAAATCAAGCGATAGACATAGTGGACTAACGCCAATTCTACCTTTTATCTCGGAGACTGGAATTTGGAAAGAGGATGGAAAAACCCTGCTGCGAATAAATAGGCAGAGAAACCATTTTAATGGCTTTACAGCTAAAAAACTACTTGATTTAGACGCGAACATAACAACGACGAATTGTTGAAACCGAGCAATTTGAATAATCCGATCCACCCCTGCATGCACAGAGATCGGTGGTATAAAGGAAGTCCTCCAATGGATCCACATCTTCTTGGTACATTGGGACCTGGGAGATGGGATGCTGATAATGATCTTGTGTGGGAAATATTACAACCAATTCTTCGACTTGCCACATTGATAATGCAAAGCATCCACCCTGAATATGTAAATTCTACCTATTGTCCCTTGAAACCTCCTGACAAAAGAACATAGTATGATGCCCTGTTTCATGGACCACGAACTCCAATCGACCCAGCGAGATTTCCTGACAACCCCCCGAAATGGGTGACCCGAGCAGTTCTAGATGGACTTCGTTCCTTCAAATCGAGAGCTCTAGCTCCACACGATCCCAACCTTCAAAAGAGCAAGGATGATTTGCTTAAGGCGTTGAAAAAGTATGCCAAATTCAAATTCAGAAACAAATCCGACAATCTGCGATACATTGGCTGCACCAAGTACAAGGTAGCAAAAGATGCATTTGGCAGCAACTATCCTGAAATAGCTATTAATTTAGATCATGAAAATTTCGAACCATTACTTCGATCGGATATTACAGCGTCCGAAAAGTTAGGTTATCAATGGCAAAATGCATTAAGTATTGCTCATGAATGGTGAGAGATGTCTGGCTTCAAATTTAAAGATATGTTGACGTTAATTTTTAGTGCACACGCAATGCATAGGATATCTGAATACTTGAAAGAGAAACAAGATCAAGCTTTAGCGAATTGGCGTATAACAACGGAGGTGAGTAGTTTCGACTCCCTTGATTGATCATGACTAACTAGCTAAGCATCATATGCGGGACCACCCTATTCATGAACTTGGTTACGCATTGGAGCAATTCGCTCTTGGGGGTGTCACTAAGGGAGAAACCAATCCACTAGGCTCATTGTTTCCAACCATAGCCTTTTTTTGGGTCGAGTGGCCATCGAGACGTTGGGTAAACTATTCAACCAATCTTGTATTGAAAAGTCCTCCGCTGAATCCACAATACTACTACTACCCGATACCAGTAAATCATTTTGAAGATGTTCACCAGATAGATTTCTGGAATCATGTCATCAAAGTTTTCGGTCCCTTCATGCTTGCGCTCAGGTCCCTAAAAGTAACCATGCAGGTCACTGACCTTCCGAACTCTCCTAAAGCAAGGCTACTGAATATGAATACTGGGGAACCCCCGGGTTCTAGTTGGAAGATTAGACACGCCGCTTTGAAATCAAAGCAGGACATGAGTGCAGATGAACGAAGAGCTTGCAACGCTGGGGATAAATTAATTGAAAGGGCAAAACTAAACGAAAAGTTCTTTGCCAACAGCAAAAAACAAAGCCAGCAACTTAAGGCTATCCTCGATTTCAATGACGATCTCAAAGATAAGATTCATGCTACCACTGACGCTGCCTTTGCTGCTGCTATCAGCCGAGGCAAGCAATCCACGCGCGTGAATCCAGCGGTAGTGATAGAGGAATCAATGCAGAAGCAGTACGACATAATCTTCAAAGCTGCGAAAGCTCATTGTGAAGCTGTTGACTAGTATTTCGCACTCGCAAATTCCGGAGAGGCCCCGATTGAAGTCGAAGCAAATCTATTGAGGTTCAACCAAGGCTTCAGAGGATTCGCCAGAGAGATCGCCTATATACAATGGTCGGAGGAGTTGAACGAACATTATCAATACATAGATGAAATACTAGAATTCAAGCGACAGATGTTATACTCACCCGAAGATGAAAACTGTCAAAAAGTCACGGTGGAATATAGGGAATTTGAAGAAATCGATGACATCATTTACGCTTACGGTAAGATAGGGTTGGAACCTGAGAAAATGAAATCGGATATCTCCAGGATTGCTGAAGCCTTTGAAAAGCGATGGGAAAGTTCTCGATACGGCAGAATCTGCGCGAAAATCATAAAACTGGCTGCAGATATAGCGTTGGGAGAAGCTGTAGATCCGGAGGTTGAACTCAAGGAAATCGACAGTAAGATACAAGCGCTAACATCATTGAGAAGTGGAGAGGACAATAAACCTTGTGATACCTGGAGAGTAACACTGGAGAATATGATCAAACGGATGCAGACGATTGTGGACGATCTTCGACAGAAGCTCGCTGCGCCGGTTGCTCTCGATACTAATATGACCAATTATGACCCTCAGGATGAGGACGATGTTGCCACGGATAATGATATGGCGGAGGATGACATTGCTACGGATGTCGACTCGAATGAGGATAACTGGATTCCCTATCAACCTGCTTGATAGCATGTCCAATTTTGCATAAGAATAGTCATCCATCATAGTCGACAACATACAATACGTCGGAATTTAATGTTCTGCTTTTTTGGATGAAACAATCATGATACAAAGATTTAGCAAAAAATGTCACAAAAATCTGGGCAGCATGGATAGCAAGTCGGTTTACGTGATTAGCCATCACCATTCTCTTACAACCTGGTCCTCTCCAACACCTATACATAATCTCGATATGATGAGTGAATAATTCACGTCCATTTCATCTCAAATCAAAGAATACCGATACGATCATGACCGAAGTCATCTCTTAATCATTAAACCTGTTCTACATCAGATAGTACACATTTCCAAAATGTTCTCTGCGAGACGAGCAATTTCCCCTTTGGAAAATGGATTCTACTTCTGTCTTGGGTTGGGAATTGAGAGTTTATTCATCTGTTCCGTTTCAAATATGCGTCTTTCTGCTTTTGCTAAAGAATGCGGGAACGGTGAAAGAAATCAGAGCACCACAATCCATTGGCAATGTATCCCATAATCTTCCAGAAATATGCAATGGTTTATGTTTGATGCACAACATCTCAATATTAACATCAGGGTATATACCACTATTATCGACGAGACATTTTGTAAAGGACTTCTATCTGCTCAATATGATGAAATCAATGACCTCACTGTTTCTCTGTGTCTTGGCTGATAAATGTTGGGAGCTTCGGGTGGAGATTTTAAATAGTTTGATGGGTTTCACAATTAATGTCTAAGTATACAGCATGTCTATTTATTTGCTTCCGAAGAATCTGAACCATTAGCAACTATCGCCCGACAGTACTTAACATAACTCGCAACTAATTGCAGAATTAGTTTATAATGATGCACACAAATATTTCCAACCGCATCTCATATACTCATCTAATTATCAGCAACTACACCACAGCTCCCACCAACACATTTTCCTCGCCGCGCTCACCCAAAGCCTCGATATTCCAAGACTGGTACGCCAGATCACCGAAATACCAATTCCGACTACCACTACGAGTACATCATCAAACTCCTTTTCCCCGGCCGAAAACTACAAATCTGGTGTTAATTTCACTTCCTATCAATATGAACTTCCACTCTATATCCTATCTTTTAATTCCTTTCCCCAAATTGATAACGCCAATTTAATATATTTCAGTATTGCTAAAGTAGGCAAATGAATACATAGAGTTTAGAAATAGTTTATGTACAAGCGCAGTAGGTTTGGCATTCACATTTGTTCTGTTGGGCTACTGACGTCTACTGGTGCATACCGAAACTTCCAATCTGCTGTTAGTGGTTTGAGAGAGAGGGAAATGATGATCTCGGAGGATATTAAGGACTGGAGAAAATGGCGTTTTTGCTTTTAAGCTGTTCAAAATGATTAAAATGGGGAGTTCTGTCTTTCCTCTGTTTCTTTTGGTAATGAAATGGATTCATTGCTTCAACTGAAGGATATACTCGTAAGACTTACAATGTTGGCTAGTCTATAGTGTTGTTTTCAGATTATCTTTGCATCTGTTAGACTAGTTCTAAATCATTAATTTATATTTAGTGTCGAGCGAAAATAGCTCATGATCAAAGTGATGTAAATTACGACCGACGGCCCCTCCCCTTCATATTTTCGGTTAGCCACCCAACAGTATAAATTGGTTCCAAAGTCTGAAGATATCTTGCTCCATATCAATCTGTATATATCAACCAACTTCGTCGTAGAGAATTCATCAAGTTCTTGATTCAATACTCAGTCAGCATGGAGGTTATCACTATTCTATTTCTGTATAATACTGAAGTGCTTGTATCGGTTGGTTATTATGACAACGGATTGATAAATTCTCTAGCGACGACAAAACATGTAATTGATGATAATGTGATAACTAATGAGTCTGAGTCATGGCCTTAAGTGATTGTCAGTGCATGATATCAGTCAAGTATTCGACAGCCTGAGCCATAGTGGTTGTTGCTGCTTAGATATTCTGGCGCACTAACATCAAGTTTCTACTCTCATGTTTTATAGGCGAGGGAGTGTTGGCCTGTTTTTGCGTTAGAACTTCTATGAATAATATTTTTTTCCGAATTCTATCGGGAAATAATGAACGGCCTTAAATGAGATGGCATTATAGCCTAATAAGCGTAAAATTGAGATACAGGTAAAATGAAGTAAACGAGCTGTACGAGTATAAGTTAGCTCTATCCAGCCTCTACACTTGTAATATCGAAAGACTATGCCATAGAATAAACGGTGTTTGCTGTCGTCCCGAAAACCGCGGAGAAGATGATGGTTTTTAAATCTTCAGTGATGAAAGTTGATGGAAATTTATGGCAGTGAAAATTTCCTGTAGCAATAACTAGATTTACTTAAACATCAGCTTTTTGGTTGAAATTTCCTACCGAGAAAAAGCTACTTGACGAGTCTTTTAAAGTCCCCCAATGTACTCTTGTAATTCAAATGACGTGGGAATCACCATCATCGATCCTCTTATAGCGATTTTCAGTTGTATATATTGTGAAAATAAAAAGGCTGTTTTTTTTTATACTATATTTAGAGAATTTCGCGGAAGAAAGTGTTTAGTACATACCCTCTATTCACAAATGGTAGAGCAAAAGTATAAAAGCACACTTCTTTTACACTTGCTAGTTGTCGAATGATAAGACATGGTAGAGCAAACCCCACAGGCTTTGGTGTCCACTGGGAGGAAGATGATGGTGTACTCACACCGTCAATGTATTAATATTTGACGCAACCACGATTGGGCCAAAGCTTTGTAAAGGAATGAATAATCGACATTGAATACTAGTGGAAATTAGACGACAGCGAAAGTTTAGAAGATAAGACGAGAATTCATCGATTAATCGTATCATTGTCGTTGATGAACATGGTATCGAGGATGCGGGAGGTCAAAGTCTGTAGATTTTGTTATGACAAATACTATCTAAATGAATCTGAAGTCATAATATTCAAATGGTCAAAGTGATATGGTTATACTACATAAATAAAGTGGTGTGATATCTATAAAATTCGAAGAGGTCGGGGTTCGGGACACCAGTCTTGTTTTTGCTCTACGTGACTGTCACGGAAATTTCTTGTCGTTATATCATATCCCCACTCAAATATAAAAAAGCAATAGTAAAAATAAGTCATTAGTATGAAATGACGAGAGTCAGATAAAAGTCTTGTATTTACATTGCCAAAAGCCTCTTGATGGTTTCCCGTATATGATTCTGGTTGGCCCTCCAAGGTCGTCACGTAGATGTATTGACAAATTGCACCTAACCATCCGTATGCTTCTCACGGTCTGTCTAATAACCTCGTCGCCTGTAATTTATGTGCGAGCTACATGTTACTTAGCTATGGATTTGAAACCTCCCTACTCTGATCTAGTTATATACCATCTCTCTTAAGCGAATCTGTGATTAATTGACCCTCAGATTAAATATGGCAGTCCTTTCCTTGGTATCTTGGAATAAGCTTTTGTGGTGTAATTTTTCAATGAAGATCTTGAAAACATATAAAGTCACAGGTACTATTTTTTATCTATTCCTGTATCTTGGAAGTTTTGAGGGTGCTACAAAAGGCGAATGTCTGTTTTTTTGTAAATTGGACCATATAATTATCTCGTCGCGTATGACCAAATTCCCTTTCTCAACATACATAAGTACAATCTTGAGAATCTTATGATCATCAATCTGTAAAACTTCATTGCCATTGTATTCATGTGAGAGCATTGGTGAATCACACACAGAGACAGCAAAATTGAAAAAAATACCCGATGCGCACTCCGCTTTTTCACCCCTTGTATCCAGACCTAGACGCGAACGCTCTCTTTTCCGAATATTTACAAATCTTGTCTGCACCGCGAATTAGATGCTTTTATAGTAAGATTTGTACTATTACATATCTTCAGTCATGCAGTTACAACTATTTTGAGAAGATGTTGTAATAAAAACCTAGCCATGACTGTTAGATCAGGTAAGGGGAATGCTGGGAACTGAGATGATGTAGTGGTTTTGAGATTTTATGACAGTGAAGAATCAATATATACTGACAGTATCTATTAAGTCTACATCATGTACGAGTACCATTATTACACTTCATATTCACTTCTACTCGATTACTGATCAGTCCTTTTGATATTTCCAGGTCTTGCTCTTACATGCATAGTACACAAGTCAGCTATTCTATATGCAGTATAGATATTAATGGGTCCATATCACTAGATTAAGGAAGCTAATGCGGAATCACTTTCGAACTCTAGCTTGCCACTGACAGTAACACTTCAAATTAAATACGTCGCTCCATTTTGGTTTAACTAAGAAATCTGATCATAAGTAAGATAACTGACTGATGATACTCGAGTACAAGTAAAATGCTGGCAACGAGAATGCAATGACTAAACCATGAAGAAACAAAACAGTGATTGCGCTATCATATTTTTCCTTCCTCTCTTGACATATTCAGGACACCAGGTGCTGTGAACTTGTACCATTCGTCCCGAACTTTCTGAGATATTCATCGTTCTTCGAGTGTCTCCTCAGCGATATCACTGCCGTCTGACGAGCAATTTTTAAAACATATGGCTATCTTATATCTCTTTCTAGCCATTAACCACGGCACCACAGAATTTCAACAAACGAAACCCCTGCCCCCTCATTTGCTCCAACCCAATCCCCAACTATTGTCCAACCACACATCCATCAGCCGTTTCATAGCTCCCCCCAATACCTCACCTCTCTCAGCCAGCTATGTACCGGTATTCAAAACCGGTGTAGTCCAACCTGACTGATTAGCGCAATTAGTGTTTGCGCAACAAACTGGCGTCGCCTTTCCATCATAGTGCTTTACGGCTTGAGAGATACACGAAATACTATTGCTACACCAAAATAGTTCTACAACTAAACTAGGAAACGCAAAAACTTGCAGTAACTCATGTGAAACTCTTTACTTGGAAAGAATCTCATTTTCAATCACAATAATCGCTATATTTGGGCCAACAATGAGTCAATATACCAAGTGTATCCTAGAGACATCGCATTTCTTTTACTTCAACAAAGATCTCTTGCATTCATCTCATTCTGTCCTCATCAGAATCATCTACTGATAAACTGGAAAAATTCCATGATCATTTGTTACCAAAGAAGACAATAGCATGGCTTGATACGATATGAAGTAGCGTATGTGAGAATGCTGAGTGTTATACGATTGGAGTGAAGTGTTCCACCAGGAACTAATCTGCGCAATTAGGCAACTTACAAATCGACATTCATCCTTTGTACTTTACTCAACATTTTAGATATAAACATAGAGCGGCGAACCTATTCGAGATCTCAAAACATACACATGAGCACGTTTATCGATCTATGAGATCAATCCATTCGTTACATACCAGCCCACAGTAGAATCTGTAGAGCAATCCAAGTGAATGACATTCACAATCCCTCCGATTCACACGCTGAGTCACATGCAAATTCATTTTACGATCATTTAGGTTCTACTAGAACTCTTTGATCTCATGTATACATAAAAAGCGACCCATTTTCATGAAGGAAATCATATTCGAATAGAATCAGATCGGTAGTTTCAACGAATCTAGTCAGAGGAAATGCGTCTTGTCTGTCCATCACACACTAACTTGTACCACGTCTCTGTAGACTTTAGATCATGTATTGTAAGCTCCCGTATATTCAAAAGTGGGATTTGTTGAGAACTGACGATGATAAAACTAAATCAACAAGAATCCTGAGAAGAGACAGCAGTTATCGATGACTCAGTATAGATAGATACCTCCTTGACTTAGCATAATATACCACCAGCTGTTGGTCTGCTACTGTAATATAGATACCTCTGTCTTTTGTTGGCTCGCTGTAGAAAGATTGTAGGTGCGGGTCGTTAATTCTAGGAAGATTCGGAGATTTTATATCTCGTTGAATTGCTCGCTACGAGAATTATTGTGAGATACCTGCACAATAACCCTGTTATTAAGACCTTCAATACATCAAAGGCAGATCGCAGGAATGTAAGAATACAGATACTATAATGAATCACAACACGACTTATTCATCCTCATAGTTTAAACTTTGATTCTACAACTGGAGTAGCTTATAAAAGTAATCTCCTACCCCATCAAAAAACTCACATCACACGAAAAATCCGAAACAACACTTGACATGGTAGCGATTTCCTTCTTCAAAACACTTCCTAACAGATCCCCCTTTTAATTCCTTGTTCACAGGGCAGAAACCCGGGGTTGTCTTTGCAACAAATTAATGTGAAATATCTTGCGGGATTGATGACAGCGGTAAATGCAAAAATAATGTATCACTACTGTCAAAGATTACTAGTACATCTAATAATAATCTACCTTAACTACCTGAATATAATCCGATATTGGGTACTAACGTTTCTTTTTAACTTCGAAATTTAAAGTCTTCGTTGATTCTTTATACATCCAGAATTTGCAGTCCTGTATGGTATTTGCAGTTTCATCCTATTGAGATCTACGAGTATAGACAAGAATGCGAAGTATGCCTCATAATATAGTTGAATTATAATTAGGTAGATTTGCACCCCCTGAATCAAGAATCAAGATCTGCTAGCAGTGAATACTGCAGCGAGTCATTATACATCTATCCGATTCATTCCTATTAAAATTTGGAGGACTTCTATTCTATTACTCTATACGAGTAGATCACATCGTAAAAGCTACTCGTGAATCATTATACAGCGAAATCCCTTATTAATCCCCAAACCCTAACCCAAACCCAAACCCATTACTATTCACCAACAACTTCCAATCATGCTCCACTCATTATTCTCATACTATTTACTACTGGTTTTTCATCTCAACATTTAATTTTCAAGTTTGAAAAACAATATTAGCCTAAAATGAGTAAGTAGATCGAAATAATTAGACAGCCAAACCCAAAACACAAAATCCCATCATCTCACCCCACGTATAAAAGCCAGCCACCGTGACCAAAATACTCTCATATATACACATAGTCGAGAAAAGCAATATGGCGAGCGAATAAGGAAGGACATGCATAACACCTGGCTGGCTAAAAATAAGCTGATTGATTTGAAAAGATTTATTTATTGCTCGTTGTTTATCTCGTTGATATTATATACTCGAGCACTTGAGTGGATAGATAAATGATAATGAAAGTTTTGGGAAGTGATAATAATATACTTACTTAATGTTTTCTGTGGCAAGGGCAAGAGTAAGGGTAAGGGTAAGGGTAATAATGAATCTGGTAATGAAGAATAACAAATACTAAGGACTTAAGACAGCAATAACAAATCTATATCAAATAATTAGTAATATAAACCTCCCTTGTATCCATCAAATTCTCTTTTTACAACAATCAATCGATTATCAGTACATAATTCCCTATAGATCCTATCATTTCCCAAGAAAAGTCTCTCTTCCTGTGTCGATGTTGCATGCTTACTCGTGTTATTGATGTATAAGTGTATTTGAATGTAAAGGGATGCTCAATATATATACGACTATACGTTTGAGAATTCTTTGAACGTGGTAGGATTATAATTCACCGTCATGTGATAGAATAGGGTTTGTTTCGTAGTTTACAAATTCAGTAAATAAGTAAACAAGTAAGCACGTAACAAGAGAAGAGAAAATGTAGTAAAAATATATTGAATATTTCCATGCACCGCAACAGCAACACCTACAGCCGCAAAGCTTCATACAAGTAGCTCCCAATTAACCCACATATACTATACTACCACTCAAAGTTTACCCTTCCTCCCATCCTCCGTCAATTTCAAAACATGTTTTAAATTCCCCGGTTGCACACTCTCCCATAAACCAACCTTCCCACCCGATTCCTCCTTCAATCTCTGATCCTCCCTCTTGAAGAATTCCTCCGCACTTCTGATTCTTCCCGGATGAATCTCATCCAACAACTTATAATCCCTCTTCAACAACCTCTCCCTAAATTGAGTCCACCAACCCGTAAAATTTCTCCTAAAAGTCATCGATGCCTTATCATTTGGATCCGCATTAAATCCAGCCGGCGTATCAGCCACTGGTCCGAATCGTTTGAAATATTTATCGATATCCGTATTGATATATTGAGCCGGATGACCCGTGACTTTTTCAAACGCCGTTGCCATTTCGGAGTATGTGATGTCTCCAATACTAACTTCGAGATCCATTCCATTGGTATGCTGGGGGTGATCGAATAACCATCGAACATAGAATCCACAATCCTCCAAACTAACGTGAGGGACGGCACCATCCCCGAGTGGTACTCTCCATGTTACAACGCCATCCTCTACACTAGGTGTCATGACAGTTTGACCCGTAATTGACATTTCGATATATGGACCTGTAGTAAATAAAGCCGCTCCCATTCCATTAGGATTACTTTGATTTTGCCACAAGATCCATTCGCCAATTCTTCCTTTTCCATCATAGTGACCAGCATGATACTTCTCCTGCCATCCACTCTTCTTCAATGCATAATCAAGGTTTCCGTAGACGAAAAACTTGATGCCTTCTTGGATAGCAATTTCATAAGAACGAATTGCCCAGAACATTTCAGTCTTTTCACCAGTGTTGAAACCATCGATATTGATGAATGCACCATCACAACCTTTGTAACCAGCACGAATAACATCCTCGTCGGCGAAGGTTCCTTCAAATAATTCAACATTGCCGAGAGCAAGAAGTTGTTGGGCTCTGGAGGATGTGGTGTCACGGGTAAGGACTCGAACTTGGTATTTCTTATCGACAACAAGAGCTTTGATAATGGGTATACCTTGAGCTCCTGTACCGCCAATAATGAAGATTTTGGAAGTTTGATGAGATGACATTGTGTTTGTAAATTGATTGTAGGGCTTGCTTAGATGAAATGGAAAACCGTGATTGTTGAGTATTGATCGAATTTTGAATTACTTCGACACCAACCATGAATTTATATATAAGTCCACAGATAAGTCAACACTTCGCAACTGTGGGTGATGTGATGAAGCTGAGCTGATGCATGTTCACTAAACATGGAATCTAATTTGATTACTGATCGTTACAGAGTACATGTTCACTAATCATCAATTGAGGTTGTCCGAAGACAGTGATTGAATACATCATGTCGCTCGACACTCAATAGTAATCTAAAGAAACGTTAATAGATTAATTCGAGTATTGATTAAAGGAATCCCCGAACGTCAAGACATGGTATTTTGGAACTTCTACGGACTCCGAAATGGCAAGCCCATTTTCATCTTGTGCGAAAGACTACCGGTACTCGGTACATGAGAGAAGACAGATAACAAAATATTACGGGAAGATGAGTGATCAATTCGTGTTCTAATGGATAGAACGTGTTTGTAAAAAGATAAAGATGGAAGAAGAAGTCAGTGACGAGACACTTCATTGTGAGGAGGTTGAAAAGGAGGTTACAGTACTCGAGTACACGATGTGGGGATTGGGAATCTCATTTAAGTACAAGATCACATGACCCTGCATACATCGCCTCAAACTCGCGTTGGGCTATTTCTCAACAACTTCTCAAAATTAGCCATTCTTGTGTGAGACATCAAGGAGTGTGATCAATCCAAGGACGCCAAATCTTCACATTACCAATCGCGTCAAACTCTCATCGTGGAGCACATTCTGTCCAAATCAACTCAAAATGACAACCTCAATCTTCACCCGCAAACTCGACCTTCTCTACCTCATCTACTTCCTCACTCATATCCCCGTTATGTTTTGTATGTTTTGTTTTCTCGCTTCAATACCCCCTTTTTTCCATACTCTTTCCAATCATCAACCCCCCCAACCCCTCGTTTCCGAAACCTCCCCCCTTTCCTCCACAAACACACGCTAATCTCACTCCTCTAGTAATGGACCTCCAAGCCCTATACCCCCCATATCTCACCCCTTCCTTTCTCACCGCCATCAAAACATTTTACATAACTACTTATAACGATTTATTCTTTGTTTCGCCACCTGTTTATTTTAACCTTTTTATTTGGTTAGAGTTGTTGGTTCATGTGCCAGTTAGTTTTTGGGCTGTGGGAGGATTGTTGAAAAGTATGTATTTTTCTTCGTTTTGTATTTTTGTGTTTTTGTGTTTTTTTGGTTCTTGGTTTGAGTCTTTAGGCCGACTGGCTGGATTAGAGGAGAAGAGGGAGAAAAGGGAGAAGCGTGAAAGTGCTGAAAAGATGAGAGAGGAAGGATACGGAGGGTTTTTGAAATGCGGTTACAGTGTTTGGAACACAAGTGTGTGATTTTTCAGAGGTGGATGGATGATAATATTCATTCTCGGTTCATATGGTATCTTACATCTTCATTTTAAGTAAATGACGAATCGTTTGACTACGCCCGCAATCCTACAAGAACTCCGTGTCCTAATATTTCCAGCATTTGGATCAGGATGATGTTCTTCTGCTACCAGATCACAAACTATTATATTCCCTTACCCCGTCCCAGCACTCCGAAAACAACTCTCTCTTTTCATACTCACAGTTAATTATCTGTATACCAGTCATTTGTCCCTTCTCTCACCATTCACCATGTGTCTGCGCAGATCAACTACATCTTCCTACAACTGCTATTTGGCTACTCTTCCCAACCTCCACATCTCTCCTTTCCTTCATCCTTTCCTTCATCCTTATCTATCCCTCCCTCCCTCTTTCTCTTCTCACATCCCCTTCCTAAACCTCAACCCCATCCCACCCCAAACTAATACTCCTCCCCCCTAGATTCCCCTCGCACTCCCTTAATACTCCTCTGTTATGCTCTCGAAGTATTCCTCACAACCCTCGTTTGCATGCACGAATATCTCTATTGGCCCATCACTCTGGCTCAAAAAATCGACCTCACTACTCTTTATGGCCCTTATATATTATTGTGTACGTATTCCTCTATTCTCTTATTTTCCCCTCTTCTCGTCTTCTCTTCTTTTCTTCTTTTCTTCCTTCTCTTCCTTTCATTTCCCCTTTTCCCTTCTCCCCACTCCCCACCATTCTTCACCCGCTCATAAGCAGGCTCCCAAAAACAAATCAATCCTTCAAAATCCATCCATGCACTCATCCACTCATCAGAAAACCATAAACCACAAACCAACTAACTCTATAATCAACCCAACACAGCAATGATAATGGGCATAGACATGTATCACCGTCTCTCCCGCACCATCGCAGATTCCACCACCGCAAAGCATATTAATACCAAGAAAACCCTTTAAACAATTCAAATCCACAGAACAACATCAAACATCTTATACCTGTACTCTATCAACTAGATGCTATACCCAGCTTAGACCTTGTATATATACATACCGATATCATGAATCTTTTGTACCGAGATAGCAGTTACTAGTATATTGTTATGGAGTAGAAAAGGACATGGAGACTATTAAATTGGGATATATCTATAAGTATTTTATCTGATGTATTTCTCGGTATACTCGAGTAAATTGGTTTTGGTTTGGTTTTGTTGGTTTATGGATGGATATCTTTATCTATATAATAGTACTCTACTCTACTCTACTCATTATTCAATATCTACTCACTACTTGATAATCCCTCATTTCTCACTTCTCATCCCTCCATTTCTCATCCCTCCACATCAACTAATTTCACCCCAACTTATTCCACTCCACTCCGAGTCTCCACTCAACTTCTACTTCAAAGCCAAATATAATCAATTCAATATAACAAACATTGTATATGATGATTCCCACTCCTATGCCCATTCCACATTACTATTCCCATTCCCATTGTCATTCTCATTCACAATTTACCTCACCTCACCTCACTCTATATTCTCATCTCTATATAACCCTTTTTCCCCCTCCCTTCTTCCCCTCCCTTCTCCTCTTCCTATTCATCTTCCTTTTTGTATTCATCTTCCTCTCCCCTCCCTTCTCCCCTCCCTCTTCCCATTCCCTATTCTGTTCTCTCCCCTTTCTTCCTTCTCTTTCCCTTTTCTCCTCCTTCCTCTTTCTTTTTCTTTCCTTTCCCTTTCCTTTCCCTTTCCTTTCCTCCCCCCCCTTTCCCTCCCTACCCTCCCTCACTCCATATATCCATCACTATCATATACCACTACATATAATTTTAATATATTATCCACTATCCACTATCCAATACATTATCCAATCCACTATTCAAAACCTCATCCACTATTCAATCTATCATTCAATCCATTATTCAATCCATTATACACAATGAAATATATGATATCATATTATATCATATTATATCTCCCCTCTCTTTACTCTATATATATACATATCCATACGCCAACCATCCTTCCTCCTCCCCTCTTACCTTTCCTCTCCCCTCTCCCCTCTCAAACATTCCAAACCTTCCAAATCTTCAAACCTTCCACAACTCCAAAACTATAACTCCAAAAACTATAACCCCAATCCAAGTAATCTAAACAATTAACACAGGTACTCATTATCCATTGATTCATTTATCTATTTATTTATCCTCCATTCTATATCTACTTATCGTTTATCCTTCCATCCATTATCTATTCATTTATCTTCACATTTTCTATTCTCAAATAATACAATACAATACATTACATTCATTGCATTGACATCATATTTACATTTGTATTTGTATTTATATAAACATCAGATTTGTATTCCCTACTCCCTACTCCCTACTTCCCTATCCTTTCCCTATCCCCTCCCTACCTATCTCATACTCCCTATCCCCTCCCAACTCCTCATCCTCTCCCCCCTTTCCCTATTCCTCCTTCCTCATCCTCCCTCCATATCCCTACTCCTCATCCTCTCCCCCCTTTCCCTATCCCTCCTTCCTCTATCCCTATTCCTCCTTCCTCATCCTCTCCCCCCTAACACCCCTACCCCTCCCTACCCCCTTATTCCCCCATATCCCCTATTCCCTCCCTCCCTACTCTCCTCCCTATTTCTCATCCTCTATCCTCTATCCCCTCCCTACTCCCCCTAACACCCCTACTCCCTATTCCCTAGCTAGCAAAAAAATGCACAACACAGTACAACACAGCACAATACAACACAGCACAGCACAACACCGTATAGTATAGTATAACAAGAAAATCGCTCCAAACAACATTAATATCAATATCATTATCAATATCAACATTACCCCTCTTCATAAATTATAAATAATCCTTGATGTCCTCATAAAATCACACCGTTTCTATTCTATCTACAACGCATTTCACTCCAGTCCCGTCCAGTCCCATCCAGGGAAATGCGCACCGGCATCCGCGCCCCCATCGCCACCTTCCATGAACTCCATGTTCTGTTTCATTTCATTTCATTTCAAGCAAGACTCGCTACCTTGCCCGTCCCTAACCATCCCTTTACATTTTGACTCCCCTCCCCCATCCCCTCCCCTCTCTACAACTTCCCAACCCACCCAACATTTAAAAAAAAGTCAAAAATCTTCCCCCCCTTCGCCCCCTCCACCCTCGCAATCTCCTTTACCATTTTCCTCTTCAACCTTCCATCACCCTTCAACGCCTCTTTCAAAATCGCTTCTTTGATTACTAGATATGGTTTTGGGTTTAATCTCGTCTTTTCACAAAGATCGACTTCTCCTGGGGTTAAGAGGTGGTAATCTGAGGTATATGAGGGATTGAGTGATATTGGTGTGATGGTTGAGAGGGGTTGGACTTGTATTGGTTCGCGTTTGATGACGGGGGATTGTTGTTTGATTCCATTTGTGAGAGTACCAGTACCAGTGCCGTTTAGTAGGTTTTCTTTATCGTCGTTGGGCCGTGATGTGAGGATAGATTCTGGTAACTCGGGTGCAACTAATGCAGCTGCACCACTTGGAGTTTCGATCACAGGAGGAGGTTTGTTTCTTGCATTTGTAGCAAATCGTTCACGGTCCATGCTACCCATAGGTAATGCTTTTTGAAGTCTCTGTTGCTTATCTTGCTCATATTTCTCTCCACTGCTGAGATCTCCGATCTTCATTTGTCTCCACTCTTGCAATTGTTGGACTGCTAGTCGTAAATTTAACTCATCGATGAGACCTTTGGAGAATTCTTCAAAATCATCATGATTCATCATTCTTGCGAAAGGTTTGGCACGAGTGAGAAGATCTCTCTCTTCCTTGGTACGTTTCTTATCAAGAGCAACTGATTTCCGATATTCCAAAAGGTTATGTTCGAATATGACCTTTTTACGATCGGCTCGTTGGGTTAAACGTTGATTATATATGTTCATTACCGTCATTTTGAGTTCGAATTCCGGTTCCATCTTTCCTGTGATAGGATTGGTTCCATCGCCAGGTTCGAAAGACATTAGCTGAACGGCCTCTTCTGCTTCATTCGCATATTCCGTTTCAAATTCTAGACGACCAGGCATATAACCTTGAATTTCGTGACATGATGGAACACTGGCTGTGGGTTTCGTCTTGGGTTGTGCGGGAGGAGCATTCTTCGATGCTTCTTTTCGTTCCTCTATTCGTCTCTTCTTCAATTCTTGAAAGCCTTCTCGAGGAAATGTATCCATCAATTCGGTATCATGCGGACTGGCTCGTTTCGGTAATGGGAATTTCGGACTATCCAGATATACCTTCTTGTAATGTTCTCGAACGTCATCCTTACTTCGAAATCCTCCAATGTGATCTGCGATATCTGCCCAAGATCCTAATCCATATATTTCACATCCTTCCAATAATAATAACTCCTCATCTGCCCCCCAATCATCGGTATAAATTGGGACCGAGTTTTGTTCAATGACGCGAAATGAGTGAGTCGCAGGTTGATGTTGTGAAGAATATTTTCCATCAGAGAAACATTGTACGCATAAGTCGTATTCATTGCAAGCTGTGTGGGCGCATCTAATTCGGACCTGTAGGTGTAGAGAGGTTAGATAATTGGACAATGATGCGGGGGAGGGGGAGGGGGAGGGGGAGTAGAGAGAGGGTGGTAATAGATTGTATGTGAATGAAGAAAACATACAGTATTGGTAATATCTGCGGAACAAATATCACAAACATATTTAACACCACCTTCACCCCCTCTCATCGCGGTCTTCTTGCGAATAATCCCCATTATCAAAGTGGTTGTGGTTGTTGTAGATAATGACTTCGCGCCGAGGCTGATAAATAATCAAAGACAACAATTTTGAGATTCGTTATTGTATTAAAGTGAGTTATAGTTATGACTGATAAAGGGCAATGATCTCTTTGATGTAATTATTCCTTGAGTTTAATAAGAAGGATTATAGTTCTTGTGATGTCGATGATTTTATAGATTGTGTAGTACTTCATGTTATGTACTAGCTGTAGCTAACTAGACCGATAACCTTAAAGTTTGATGTGGCTTGACGAGGCTATCTATGGCTGGTGACGAGTTGAGCGTGAGTTAGTCCAAGTTGAGATCACCAGCCACAGAGTTGAAGAGGCTGAATATTTTGTATATTTTGATGAATAATGAATGACAAGCGGATGTCCTTTATTATATATATCACTTGGCTTGGAAATGTGTTTATATCATATAATCATTTACTCGAGTGTAAACATGAACTCCCGAGTCTATCTAAGATATATCTAAGTATTTTATACTATACTTAAAACTTATTATTCTATCTGTTTATCACCTATTCTACATCTATCAAATTGACCAAGACCAAGACCACGACCACCACCCATCCCCCCTTCTTATCGGACTACTTCGTTATCGGACTTTCCGGTTTTATATGCATGTAGGTATATTAGAGTTAAAGAACAAGTAGTGAGTGAATTATTAGATCGCTGGAGCTTAGTGATTTCAAGATTTGGAGATATCTCAGAATCTCTCCCTATGACTTATACTCAATATACCGCTATAGAATATATCCCCCCTTTAATGCCCACTCCAACAACTCCAAACTCCAAAGCCAGCCCTACATCTTCTCACCAACACACCAAATCCACTCGATTTGGCAATAGTGGAGCTATTCCCATCCAAAAGAAGATAGGTATATCGTGAACCAAGCCCCCCCTCGAACACAATACAAATAGTGTTACATTGGAAATTGCCTCCTTACAAAACACAGCCCTAGTCATTTTATTTTTATATCTTTGAACAACTTCATTGTAAACTAACTGTAAACCAGTAAAAGTGAGACAGATATCAAGAGAAGAAGATTCCTTTCATCATTGGTTATTATAAACAACACATCAATTTGTGATTGATTTCTTGTTCCTCTTTTCTCTACTCAAAAACGTCCACTCACTCATTTCACATTCATTTCAATACCAATACCAATACTGAACCAATATCAACCCCGTTTGCGTTGACAAGTTATTTTGGCGGGGCAATCGCCTGTGAGGAGGAGTTGTCTGAAGCTAATTAGTAAATCCTGACCGCAACGCACTGAGCGATCTTAACGACCTCCTACTTATTCATTCATTACAACAACCCACCCAAATACATCTTCAATTACAACATTTGATCCTACGAACCTACAATTTATCCTTCTCCCTCTCCTCCCCCCCTTCTACCGATACAATCTTGTTCCCAATCCCCAAGATGTCTTGGAATCTCACCAAGAGTAAGTAAAATTCATTCCATTTCAATCTTGAGACCCCCTCAATCTATTTACATAACCCCCTTTAACTTTATCATACTGTTTGTTTACCAAACACAACGTTATTTCAGAGAAATCCACTCAATTTGAAAGCGCACACATCAACCAGAATTATTACTAATTTTATCTCTTATCAATTTTTTAGAGCTCAAAGAGACGCATCTTGGTCCTCTCGCATCTACCTTCTCTCGAACCCCATCTTCACAAACCCTCAGAGAATCTTCCAAAGATGAGAAATCAAGCATACCAAGTACTGCACCATCTGCGAGCGATAATGGTATAGGTATGCGCGACTCGTTATATGGATATCATGGAACAGATACTGACCTTCAAAGCTGCTTCGGAAACCATAGCCGCCCAACCTCAAGCTGCTCCTCGACCGGGTATTCTCATCGTGACTCTTCACGAAGGAAGTGGATTCTCACTCCCAGATCAATATAAACAAGTCTTCAGCAATCATAATCAAAATTCATTATCTGCGGGAAATGGCTTTGGAGTGGCAGGTTCGATTCGTTCTGGATCTTCCAACCAAGTATCGGGATCGTATGCAAATATGAGACCACAGACGTCAGGGGGTGGAATTCAAGTTCCTACCAACCATGGTCGAATCTCGTCCAAATACCTTCCATATGCCTTGTTAGATTTCGATAAGATGCAGGTTTTCGTCAATTCAGTTGCAGGTTCCCCTGAAAATCCTCTATGGGCTGGAGATAATACTCAATATAAGTTTGATGTTTCACGCGTTACGGAGTTAGCACTTCATTTATATCTTCGAAACCCGAATGCGCCTCCAGGATCAGGTCGAAGTCAAGATATTTTCCTTGGTGTTACGCGCATCAACCCACGATTCGAAGAGAAGCATAAATATGTCGAAGATCCTAAATTGGGAAAGAAAGACAAGGAAAAGGCTGCGGTAGAATTCGCTAGAAGAGAGAGCACCTTGGGACAGAGTGGACCAGAGTGGTTAGACGTTCAATATGGTACAGGAAAGATTCGAATTGGAGTTGAATACGTCGAGAATAGAACGAGAGCATTGAAGATAGAAGATTTCGACCTTTTGAAAGTGGTTGGAAAAGGAAGTTTTGGAAAGGTCATGCAGGTCAAGAAAAAGGATACCCAACGAATTTACGCCCTCAAGACCATTCGAAAGGCCCATATCATTTCACGATCAGAGGTCGCACATACATTGGCAGAACGATCCGTCCTCTCTCAAATCAACAATCCTTTCATCGTACCTCTCAAATTTACATTTCAATCACCCGAGAAGTTATATTTCGTCTTGGCATTCGTCAATGGTGGTGAACTTTTCCATCATCTTCAAAAGGAGTCTCGCTTCGATATTAATCGCTCAAGATTTTACACGGCCGAGTTACTTTGCGCTTTAGAATGTTTACATGGTTTCAACGTCATTTATCGTGACTTGAAACCAGAGAATATTCTATTGGATTACTCAGGTCACATTGCACTTTGTGATTTCGGCTTGTGTAAACTTGACATGAAGGATGAAGATCGTACCAATACCTTTTGTGGAACTCCTGAATACTTGGCACCTGAATTGTTATTAGGTCAAGGTTACACCAAGACGGTTGATTGGTGGACCCTTGGTGTTTTGCTCTATGAGATGTTGACTGGTTTACCACCTTTCTATGATGAGAACACCAATGAGATGTATCGCAAGATTTTGAGCGAGCCATTGAACTTTCCAGGTCCTGAAATCGTTCCTCCTGCCGCCAAGGATCTCTTGCAAAAACTTCTCGACCGAAAACCAGATCAAAGATTGGGTGCAAATGGTGCTTCGGAAATTAAAGCTCATCCTTTCTTCCACAGTATTGATTGGCGAAAATTACTTCAAAGAAAGTATGAACCTACTTTCAAGCCTAATGTGGTATGTATTATTTCTACTCTTCACTGAATATCCAACGTACTAACAAAATACACAGACGGATGCTCTTGATACCAAGAACTTTGATGAAGAATTTACCTCTCAAGCACCAGCAGATTCATTGGTCGAAGGTGGACAATTATCATCAACTATGCAAGAACAATTTACAGGTTGGTCTTACAATAGACCGGTTGCTGGATTGGGTGATGGTGGTGGTAGTATCAAAGATCCAAGTTTCGTAGGAAGTGTACAAGATAGATAGATGAGGTCATGAAAAAAAGGAATCTGGTATTCTGAACCAGTATCAGTATGATGGTTGATATGACGGAGGGCGTCTTTCTCTCATAGATAGATAGATAGCATCGAGAATTTCTTTTCGAGGGAGGGAAAGGAGGGAAAGGGAAAGGGGAAGGGGAAGCGCGAAATTATGAACGAATAGGAAGGGTTGTTTAAGACTTTGAAGACTTTGAATTAAATGGAATTAAATGGAATGGATTTGGTTCGATATGGAGGTCGTTCTTCTTAATTTTGAATGTGATATTGAATTGTAAATAAAACTGCGAATCAGGAGTAGAAAATCGTTGGGATTCGGTTAAAGAATAGTTTGTATGTTTATACTCGAGTATGAGTATTTGTGATACGGTAAGGTGAGGCAGGGTGGAAAGGGAGGGGGAAGGTGGATTTCTTGGTTAGATGAAGAGATGGATGGATGGATGGATAGATAAATGGTCTTTTTGGATGAGAAGCTTTTAATGTAGTCG